TATTAAGTATTTTTAACAAATAATAACTTGCTTATTATGTGTATTTTTATTCCTAATATTCGGGAATATCCAATAATTTGTAAAAAAAGCAAAACATTTTCAAACAAAAGTTATATAAGTTATCAAAAATCCTATATATTTTAGAAAAAAACTATTGATTTTACTAAAAATGTTGTATAAATTAGAAAAATGCCATATAATTTATAACAAATATAACCACTTTCATTAAAAGTAATATAATTTATAAAAAACACAGTCTATTTCATTAAAAGTAATATAATTCATTAAATACAATATAAACCATAAAAAATACTGTCGAAAATATAAAAACATAATCGATTTATTAAAAAATATTATCGATTTGAAACCAATGAGCACTGTATTGTTGTTTTGGATAATATTTGTACCAAATAAATTTTTTCTTTACCATTTATTTTATTTTCTATTTTTCGAGTATTATAAATATAGTTAATTATGGTTTATTTTTTAAATAAATTTTACAAACTTTATATAGTTGTTGAACTATGGATATACTAAACATAGTTTTTTTGATGAGTATAGTTTTTTTATAGTAAAACGACGAATATTTAATTTTAAATAGTTAAAGTGAGTTACTTTATGCCAAGGTGAGTTATTAGCCATACAAGTTAACGTTTGAAATATTGAAAAATTAACATCTTTACATTGTTTTCTTATTATTAAGTCACTTTAAACTATTAATCGCTTAATTTATAAAACTCCAATGTTTTGGTATTTATAATACTTTTTAAATATAAATAGTATTATAATTATCAAAACAGAAAAATTATTTTTATTGATTAAAAAAATAGTTTTTTCTGTTTAAAAAGGAAACTTTAATAATAAAAGTTTCTGTTTTAAACATAAAAAACTAAATATTTTAATGTAATAAATAAGATAAAAATTTATTTTTTAATAAAAATATAAAAATTAAATTGAATTGAATTTTGAAAAAATAGGTCGAAATGTTAATCTAACAATAATATCAACAATGCAACTAAACAATAATTCAAACAATTGTTTTGAATAATATTATGATGATATATCTTTTGAAATTTGGACAATGTATTTCCATATTTTATTTAAATTAAATTGGATAATAGTATATTTTTTGTTATCATTGAAAAAACTTTTGTCAATAATTTGTTATTTATTTAAAATTGATAATATCAACACAAATCGTTTTGTTTCAAAAATTAAAAACTATAATTTTAATTTAATTTTAAAATTTATTAAATATTATTAAAAACACATACACAAAAATATTCAATTAATTATAAAATAAAAAATAATTAATTTGGATATCTTTTTAAATATGTAATTATATATAAATTTAATTTACAAAACAATTTTAAAGTAAAACTATTTTATTTAATGAACGGGGTGTTAAATTTTCGTGTTAAAAAATTAAAAGAAAGAAGAAAGGAGTTGGAGAAAAAGTTGTTGTTAATTAATTATGAAAAGCCATTGGCTTACAAAATATCAATATCTCACGACCGTTTAACAATATTTTTGCATATTTTAAACGAATTTGTTGAGTCGTGTAAAATAATTGGGAATTATGAGTCAATAATGAGAGCTGCTAGAGATTGCACTCTTTCTGATTTTAGATCGAATCAAAGTGGGAACAATGGAAGAGGTTTGTGGCGGAGGTTTATGGTTGTCCAGCAATTAAAGCCAAACCCCTTTGCCAAATGTTCCAAAAAATGAAGAAGAAGCCACTAAAATTAAAATTGGCAAATTTACCAAACTTATTAAAGAAACAAAGTTGTCAAAATATCCTTTAACTCTTGATATCGAATCAGTCAAAAAAGAAAATGTGAATTTTGTTATTTTTTTATTTGATTTTTTTGTTATATTTTTTGGTTTATTTTCTTTAGTTTATAATTAATAGACCCATTGAAAGAATTGAAAGAAGAAGAAAAAGTGAAAAATTTGGAAATAAAGTGCCACGAGCTTTCTCGTCTGAAAGAATTAAAAAAACGGGCTGAAGCATGGGACGAGTTTTACCAGCTTTATAAGGGGGAGGTGCATTTGAATATACCTTTTGAACTGAATGCACCCGATGGAATGATCCCCCTTGAAATTTCATCGTCTGACACGGATACTGATTCTGAATGTGTCACACGAAAAGGTCTGCGAAGTATCGCAGAAGACAAATTTGTTAAAAAGGCAGACCTGAGCAAAAAGGAAAAGAAGGAAACGTTGTTAAGGCCCGACTATCAGCAGATGAACGGGAGGGGGTGCTTCGTGGCAAGATTGGAGATGAGGCCATTTTTATGTTTGGTGAATACCTTAAAAAGTATTCAGTTTACAAAAATTGGGTGTTGGTTGATCCACAGGTATTAACGGGGATGATGAGTGGTTGCCCTAATCCCAAGGGGTGGTTAAAACCTGAATGGCAAAATTTCAATTATGTGTTCTTGCCTTACAACGACTTGGAGGTGGAAGGGGGCTCACTGGACTCTTTACATTCTAACGAGTGTAAAAATTAAGGGTATTGGAAAGACCTCCATTTCCAGACTATTGTATCTCGACAGTTGTGGAGGTCTTCCCGATACCAAGGTTGTAGAAACAATCCAAAGGAAACTGAGAGTGTCTTTTAATTCGAGGGGGGAGATATCCCGTTACAACTATCAAAGTTCCCGAACAGACTAACAATGTGGACTGTGGAGTTTACATGTTGTACTTCGTTGATTGCATTGTTCGAAGTAATCTACAGTCCATTAAAGATATTAAAAATCTTTTTAAAAATGATGAAGCACTAACTTTCAGGGGAGAATTGGCCAAGATATTAATATGAAATCATTGGTTTTTGACTTGTTATTTTTGTTTATATTATTTTTTATTAATAATCTTTAAAATACAAATAACACTGGATATTGATAAGAACACAAATTTATTATTTTTTTAATTATACAATTCGGGTAACCTATACCAAATTTATTTTCTTAGATTTTAAAAATTTAATAATACATTAATTTCTATTATTGATAATAGCGATGATGAGACTTCGATGTACAGATATAATGAATGCCATAAAATAATTTGAATTGATCACTGATTGAAAAACATAAAATCAATATTTTTTTTAAAAAAATAAACAATATTATTAAATATAATTAAATTTAAACAAATAAATAAATACAAATGATTAAATACAATCAATTGAAAGTAAAACAATTAAATAATTATTTAAAAAATTCTACAAATAATTTTATTCATTTTCATATAATTTATTATATTTTAAATTAAAAAAATATAAAAACTGTTATTGTTATTTACTTTCTCGTTTACTAAGGTAGAGATGGATATTAGTTAAAGTTAAATAACTCATGAATATATCAATCTTATTAAATTCAACTTTGATGTGTGTTAGATTTAGTCAAAATTATAACAACAAAATTGATTTGGGAAACTATAAACCGTAAAACGATTGTAATAATTTTAAGAACAATGATATGTAATAAAGGATCAATTACACTCTAGTATTTTGACCATTAAAATACGATATTCAAATAATTGTACTAAAAATTACAATGACAAAACCCCACTTAAATTGTTGTAAAAGTCAACAAATATTAATATATAATTTATACAAAATTATAATTGATTGATATAGTAAATTAATAGTTTAAATGTTTATCATTATATTGATATATCAATTAATTGTGTTGTTTTAATTTAATAAAATATATTCGTTTTTAGAACAATTTTTTTTTCTCAATTTATAACTATTCATATAACATCGTTATCAACACAATTGAAGACATAACCAATTTAATAATAATATATGTATATATATTTCGAATACATTAACATAAGTCAACTTTGATTTAAATGAGATAGTTAAACTTAAATATTTTTTTTAAATAGTTTAAAACCTAATAATAATAATAAACAATGGGTTATATCAGTTAAATTATAATAGTTAAAAATATTAATACTGAAATTAAAATTAAAAATATATATTTTATTTTATATTTTTTTAACAATTAAATCTTTAATTGTATAATCAAAACAAATGTTAAGTTGTGTTTTTAACGTTAAGTACAAACATTTTAAACATGGATCATTGCATTTCAAAAACGTTCGTGTTGTTTTATTCTGTAGCAAAATTTAACATTTTTCGTTGTTGTTTAGTGTAGTAAAGTCGATAAAACTTGTTCGATTTATTTACAGTTAATTATTTTAATTAGGAAATACTGCTCTGAGTATTATATTCAACAATAATATTAAAAACTCAACAAAAAATACGACTAAATAACACAAAGAAATATTTGTTTAGCATGGGTTATTAAGAAAGGTTGATTGTTGCCATAAAGACTGTAACCCGCTATACAAAAAAATAATTATTTTTAGGCTTTGTAATAAAAGCTCAAATTATTTTGAGGACAACAATAAAGAAACCTTTTACTTCTGGGAGTTATATTATATTTGCAATTGAAGAAATTTTGAAATGTTATATTTATCATGTCATATCATCAATATATATCATTCGTGTTATATTACCATGTTATATAATTAAATATATTTTCAATTGTTTTTATTTAATTAAAATCTAATAAAGAAATTATTATTAAAGTTTTTTATAAAAACAGACAATTCAATTGTAATGATATTTAAAACCAGTAACATTGTCAAACAAAATAAATCAATTTTTCTTATAAATAAGATTTAAAAGAATTTTGGCATCAATTCTTTCTTCAATTTTTTCAGAACGCATATTTGGTCTCAATATTGATTTCAAAAAAGAGAAAGAACGTTCAACACTACATGAAGTGACTGCGATCAACTTCATTTTTCTCATTGCTTCTCGATTTAATGGAAACCGTCTTTTTTTCTTGGTCATTGAGCAATTTCCAAAAGAAGAATGTATTCATAAATACAATTGGACATTCTTTATTAAACAAGTTCAACATTTCTTCTTTCCATTGTCTGTATTCAACATGACTTTTTAATATACATATTTTTTTCAATTTTTAAATTTGGTCAACATCACTCATTGTTGATGCGTTATCAGTTTCTTCTTCCATAGAATTGACTTCATAATGGCTTGTTGAATGAAAGTTTTCTACATTAGATTTAATATCTTTGAACATTCTAATTTTTGGGAGTTGAATCTGAGATAAAGTGCCATTTTTTTGTTTATCCCTTACACTTTCGAACTCTGGTTTCAATTTGATAATATGTTCAAATTCCTTGACTTTCTTTTCTTGCTCAGAGTTATACCGGTAATACCTCGGACGCTCTATATTGTTAGGAATCAAATTCAACAATATGTCAGTTTTTAAAACAAAATCATTTCGTTCGTACAACTGTTCAAAGTGTCCAAAATGTGTCAGTTTGAAATCACTTTGACTAACTTTTGTTTGTGTTGAATCGTTATCATTTGGCATGACAGTCGTGACTTTGTTTAGAGAATCACTGAAACGGAAAATTAACGACTTTAGAAAATTTTCTGTTATTGACAAACACACTTCTTTAAGATTCTTCATTTGATCTGAATTGTTAACTTTTCTAATAAAAGGTAATTGTTCAAACTCCTCTGTGTCAATAAAACTTCGAGTTTCAAACAAATGTTTGATCAGATCAAATATTCTTTGTAAAGCGACCAGAAACTCCAAATCAACACTTTGCAACCAGTCACTGATGACTCTGACTTTTGAAAACATCATTTCACAAAAGAACAACGCGTCCACAAAAAGATTGTTAGACAATTTTGGAACACCGAGTTTGTTTTCTTTGACCTTTTCAGTAATTTTCATTCAAATCTTTCCAATTCAAGATAATTACTATTCATGTCAAAGCATTCAAATAAAACTGATGATACAGAAGCCACAAAGTTGAAACGTGTGTTGCTAAACGATGGCATCTTGAGCAATACATCATCAATTTTGTTTTGATGTATATAGTTGGTCCAGTCCGTTCTCAGATGGTCTTGTGTCAATTTTTCAAGAAATTCTTTGATCAAAAGACCTTCGTTGGATTTAAAAGAGTCTTCAAGCGCGATGTCAAGCCTGTGGTTAAAACAATAATTGGACTTAAATTTTGACTGTTTTTCAGTATCCAAATGTGCAACAAGTTTTCCAGAAAGACCATTTAGTTCCGATTTCATAGTGGTTGCTCCATCTACTGTCAAACCACGACAATTATTGATATCGAGACCAACATCTGAAAGACATTCCATTATCCATTCATCCCAACCAGCTGCATCGTGTTTTCCATAAAAAACGGATTGAAATCTTTTTTTCTTTTGGGGATTCATCTTTTCCAATAAATCTCACAAACAATGAATAGTGTTCGTCTGTCCCAGTCTTTGAAAAATCGGCTATCAAATGTTATTTGCTTTGTGTGTTAATTAGCGGTTCTGTTTCTTTAATGGAAACTTCTCGAAATGTTTTCATGTGGTTTTCAACCATTCTTGCACAACAATTCACATCAAATTTCATCATACCGACATCGCGAATATTCATGACAATATCTACAAATTCCAACAACAATTCAATTTATGTTTCTGATAGATTCATAAACCCACAATACATCGATGCTAATGTAATAAAATACTTTTGTCTTTCTTTACCACCTTTAATGGTCGTTGTAATTTTTTCGACGTTTTTACCCAATGATAATTGAATGTTTCGAATAATTTCACGTGATACTTGTTCATTACCCAAATTATTCATCTTCGAATTATCAAGAACATCAGTGATGAAATTAAATCGTTCCAATTCTTCTCTGTTGTTTTTTTTGTTGAATCGTTTCTTTTGTTGATGTACTTTGCTGTGTTGTATACGGTTGTGAATGTAATATGTTAAAATTTGAATCAACAATTATTTTTTGAACATCGTTGACAGTTAAATTCATTTCATCTGATGTCTGAATGTTATTTGACAATTCAGGAAGATTATCACATCTTTTGTCATCACATTGACTTGTCGGAATCGTTGATTCATTTGAATCATTTTGATAATCGATAATTTTTATTGATTCTTCAATAATAGCCATATTCATACTCATCAAATGTAAATTCGTATCGATATCTCTAAGTTCAAAAAAGAGTGTTCTTAATTTTATCTTCATCCTCTTTATTAACACCAGTTAAACTAATTTGTTCTTCAATTTCATTTTCGAAAATTGCTGCAATAAATGCTGCAGTTGATTGTTCCGGGTCTGTTTCGCATTGTAAACGTCTTAATGCAAAGTATTCAAGTTTTAGGTAATTTTTACTGAAAAAACTTTCGAGCTGTGAACTATTACCGTTGTTTCTAAATAAATTTTGTTTTGTAGGGTGTTGTAAAATGTGATTTTCATGTGCTTTATAACTTAATATTTTATCACACAAAACACAATAATGGACTTGTTGAAGGTTAGTGTCACTTAATTTATTCAAAAACACTTTAAAAGTCAGATTTGATGCAAATTCTTTCATACGTCTGTTAAGTCGTTTTTCGTGGTTCATTTATTTATTTCAGTATATTTAATTTAACAAATAATATATATTCTTAAATTTATTATACAACTTTAATTATTTTTAATAAAAAATTTTGATTATCCAATTTAATATAAATAAATATGGAAATACATTGTCCAAATTTCAAAAGATATATCATCATAATATTATTCAAAACAATTGTTTGAATTATTGTTTAGTTGCATTGTTGATATTATTGTTAGATTAACATTTCGACCTATTTTTTCATGTTTCGAACAATTAATTATAATGTTAACATTTTAAACTTTTATCATCATAATTAATTAAGTACATTAAAAAACACAATAAAAAGACATATTTCTTTTTAAAATAAACTTTCAACAAAAAAAGATAATAATAAAAATGAGTAGATTTGTAATAAACATTTAAGTTGTTTTCATACTAAAGTATCTATAATATCTGTATACCAAATTAATAATATGATGTAAAATTAATAAAGGTTCAAAATCAATGATTATTAACACTTGATAATTTTCTGACAACATTATTAAAAATATAGCTAATTATTTGTTTTTGATTATTTATTTGAAACGCTTTGACTTTTTTATTTTAAAAATACACTTCTTAACATCATTCCATTTTTTGACTATGACGACTGAGTAAATCATTTTTTGATATTGTTATTAAACTAATTCAGTTTATGTTTTTAGTCATTTTTCATTTCAAACATAAATTAAAATATATTTATTTATTTCATTTTAGTCCAAAAAATAATAATTCATTTAATAAAAGCAATTTTACATTTGACAACCATATTTGCCCATCTGCACTTGATATGTGATACAATATCAATTTATCAATCAATTTGTCTTTATATTTAAAATTTGGGATAATATTTTTTTGTAATTTAAATTTAAAAATCAACATTAAAGTTTTTGAAAGAAAAATATTAAGTTGTATAAAGATAAAATTTATTATATTATTTTTTATTGATTATTAAAATTATATCATTTATTTAATTAAAATAGTTTAAATTATTAATACATAATGATAATATTATCTTTATTTGTCAATAACAAAAAAAATGTAATGTGATCTCCAAATAACACAAAAATTTAAACTATATAAAATAGTTTAATTAAGTCAAAAGTAATTCGAAAACCTACTTTTCATTTACAAATAAATTATAATTTTATTATAATTAAATATAGTTTAATGATAAAAAACGGGGTTTCTAAAAAAACAAATATTCATCTAATTACTAGAATAAAATTCAAGCTTAATTTAAGTAAACAATTCATATTATAAGGTTAACCTTACGAAGTGAAAACTGGATAAAAAATATCAAGTTCGTTTTTTTAAAAATAAGTCACTTTTTCTATTTTTACGTTTTGAACTATATAGAACTTTAAATAAAAATGACGAGCCAATTTTTTTTGCCAAACGAAAATGACATTGACGAGTATGACAGCTGCTCTGAAGATGCAATTTATAGTGACGATAATAGTGAAGACCACTTAAATTATGAAAGTACTGAATATTTAAATCAAATTCTCATGACTCAACTTCAACAAGAACAACAACTGAAAGTGTATAACACACAAAACACTCTATTACAAGATTATAATCAACAAACACAAGAACAACAAGTAAGAAATACATTAGTTCCCCATTCGTGTAATGACCCAAATTGTTTGAAATGTTGGCAGGAATTACCTTTTCAGGATGTTGATATTGGAGAGAGTTGTTTCTTTCATGACAAATCCGCCAAACCAAAAAATGATAATATAGAAAGAGAAATTGATTCTTTTAACACTTTGTTTGATGCTAATTGTCTTCAAATTATTACTAATAATACCAACAAATATGCATCTTTCAAATTTTTGCGATCCTGGAAAAATGCCACACAAAACGAAATGAATGCTTTTCTTTCTGTTGCGATAAAGGAGGGGATCAACGATGATGTCAAGAAACCAATACACGAATTGTATACTACAGAGGCATCTCCATTTTATCGTGCATTGTTTTGTGAATACCGACTAAAGCTATTATTTCAAAACATTCATTTTGATGATAAAATAACAAGAGAAGAACGAAAAATTAAAACAAAAAGAAAGGATGTTGCCATCAATGAACTGTTTGATTTAATAAATTTCAACTTTCAAACATCTATGATTGTTGGGAAGAATGTGGTTATTGATGAAATGATGTGTCCATTTTATGGAAGATGTCCATTTAAAGTTTATATGCCTGCAAAACCAGATCGTTATGGTATAAAAACATACGCTGTTGTGGATTGTTACACAACTTATGTTTCAAAACTTAAATTGTATTGTGGTTCAGAATTCTCACAAAAAGTGACACCAAAATTAACTACAACTATTCCAGTTTTTTACGGCCCATCAAAAAGACCAACCATTATTGAATTGAACAGTTTCGAAAAAAAGCCAAAAAAAGAAAAGGGTAAAAGTACTCCAATTTCAATAACAGTTCTAAGCTTGATGGAACATTTATTTGGGGAAAACAGAGTTTTGTGTTGTGATAACTTTTTCGGAACGTGTGATTTACTTCAAGAATTGATGAAACATAAAGTTTATTTTATTGGGACGGTTCGGCAAATACGTTTCAAAATTTGCAAAAAGATTCAGGAAAATTTGGAAGACCGATGTGTTCTTTTTCGTCATTCAAATTTAAAATGGTTCATGTTGGGTTTCAAAGAAAAGGAAAGTAAACAAAGAATTTGTCTTGTAACAACAAAAAATCAGAAAACTACAATTGATATAAATACGAGAATTCCACAAACGATATTTGAGTATAACAAAATGAAAGGGGGGGTAGATATGGTTGATAAAATCTGTTCATCTCATACAACAAAAAGGACTTCGAGAAGGTGGACAGTCTCTTATTTTTGGTTTTTGTTGGATTTATGTGTGCATAATGCTTTCGTGATGTGGAAAATAAAACACCAAGATGCAGATAAACGAAATTTCATCAACAACCCGTGTTTTCAAATGGCCAGCCCATATGTCGAAGACTTAAAAACAGAGAAAAAAATGACAATGGAAAGGGAAACCAAACTAAGACAAATTGGATTCGATATTCAACTCCCCGGACCTCCAAAGATTTTGTATTTGACAAGTTCTGGCAAAAAACAGTCTGGGTGGTGTAAAACATGTAAAGCTAAAGGTATTTCTGTAAAAACATCTTCTGTGTGTCACGTTTGCAGCAAAAAATACCAATTTGGACATGTGGTAAGTGTGGAAATTGGGTTTGTAGAAACTGTTTCAATTGTATGAAAACTAAATGATATTATGTTTTTGAATTTGTTTTTAATTGTTCTAAAAATATAATCGATCTAGATAAATTTTATCCAGATTTCACCTTCCCACAAAAAAAGTTGATTCAGTTGACTTGCTAAGGTTAAGCGACTCTCCCAAAGGCTCTCCCAAATATTGTTAATTAAACGGGGAAACTGTTTTAATTTTATTGTATTTTGTCTTATTCATTTATTGGTTTATTTTTTCAATTTTTATATTGTTTCTGTAAAACAGGGTTTCAATGTTTTTTATGGATTTAAAAAAAGAATCTTCTACAACGATCAATGATGTTTTGTTTCTTTAAAAAATCGCCCGATTTTGTAGTTTTTTTAACACAAGATTATCCTAATAATTATTTAAATTATCCTGTTTATGCAGAGAAAAATGATCTATTATAATTCAAAAATAATCCCGATTTTCAAAGAAAAAAAGGTTTGATATTGGTTATAATGTTTTGCGATTAGGGAAATTATTACTATCAATTCCTATTAATTTAGATTGAAAGAAGCTGTTTTTTACTGAATAATTTAACCCTTTCGGCAATAAAAAGTATTCTGACGTGTAAACAAATGTTTTTTGGTCATGTTTTTAAAATTTTCGAACCATAATTATCATCATTTCTTTGTGGTTCATCTTAACGTGATGTTTTTGAATATCACTTTACTTTTCAAAGGTGTGAAAATAAATTTAAGTCAAAACCAAGTCTCTGTATTTATATTTTTTAAACCATATTATACACCTAAATTCATTTATTTATATTTTTATTATAATGTCTGATCAAAATATGGAAAATATTTTTTGAGACATTGATAACAATTTTAAAAAAAAAAATAAATGAATCATTTTACCAAAATCTCAAAATACCGCAAAGATAAACCTCAAAATGTCTACTTATAATAACAAATTATAAAATTTTTCAATATTAATAAACTATTAGAATAGTTAACCCCAAACAATCTATTATATTAATAAAAAATGATTCTTATACTATAAAGTTATAGTAAATTTATTATTGTTTTACTACAATAGACAAGGGCAACAAGATAAACCTCATAGTTATAACTCAAGACTACTCGAACTGAAAAGATTTATTTTGATGTCATCGAACTCAAACACACTTGAGATTCACAATCTCAAGCAGGTACTTTTATATTTTATAACATCCGAAGAGATTCGGTTATTTCTTATGGTGAATCATAAATGTCAAGAAACTGTAGTTATAACAAAAACTAATCCGTTACTAAAAGATATCTCCTCTCTCTTTTGGTTTTTTAAATACTTTTCTCCAGAAACGTTCGACAACAACTTTTCTGAGATCGACTCAATCGATTTTTTCACAAAAACGAAAACGATCCAAAACGTTGATTTTTCTTCAGTAAAAAACGTTTTGTTTGATCAAAACTTTGCGACTGTCGTTTTCCCAAAAATTTTGAGACTTCGCCTCTCCAAAACGACAAAACAAAAAACAGATTTCATCATCAAAAACGCACACCTTTTCACGTCACTCAAATCTTTACGGGGAGATCTGAAAAGTCTTGTCAATTTTTTGAAAGTTTTCACACAAAACGAAAATGCCGGTGTTAATCCGCTCCCAAAAATCATCGTTGTTGAGACTATTGACTATACCTCAAAAAAACATCCATGGGAAATTTTGCTCCAAAAATTGGTTATATACTTGCCAAAAACTCAAAACATTTCCGTCCACGTCATCTTACCAAAAAACGAGACAAAAATCAAAGACTTCCCAAAAAACCTCAAAGTGACTTTTTGGCAACAAAATGTGACACAAAAAAATTCAGAAATTTTCGAAAAACATTTTTTATGCGAAAGTGGAAAAATTAATGTTATTGGCACCATTGACGGGAATGACATTAATGACGTCATCAAAAAGGCATATCCCAAAACTATAGTGTATTCTAATAACGAAGTTACGGGAAAAAACACTTGGGACGTCCCAGATTGTGTCAAAAAGTTCGAAATGGAAGACTGCATGTTTCTTCAACCACAACAACTCAACTTTAATTTGGGGCGTTTAAAAGAACTCGAAATGCAAGATTGTTGCAATCTCATCTTCTCCCATTCAATCGAAAATATTGAGACTCTGAAAATGACAAATTGTGATTGCGTAACTTTTGCACTGAGTTGTGGGATGAACAGTCTGAAATTTTTTAAAATCGAAAACTCAAATAAAATCAAGGTTGAGTGCACTTTAACTCAAATCGCACAACTTCTCCTTTTCGTTTGTACTGAAATTAAACTATTACATATTAATAATAATACCATGAATGAATTAATTCTAATAAACACAAACTCCGTGTCACTTCCTTTCTGTAAATTCCTCAACAAATCAATTTTTATTGAATCCTCTCAAAATCTCTGTTTTGGGAAAAACGAAAATCCGTCCAACCGAAATGGCGTTTCGGCGGATTTGTTTAAGGAAATGTGTTCGAGGTGTTACAAACACCCGCCACGGCGTGTTGTTAAGAATGAAAGTCAAAGCCGTTTTGAGATGAGTGATTTTTTTTCAATCTCCGAGAAAGTGTCTGTCAATGGTGGAACGATAACACGCTTAAGCAAAGAAAATGGAGGGAATTTTGACACAATTATCAGCCGACTCTTTAGTGGCGATGACAAACGACCTTTTCTTGTTTACAACGGACAAAACACCAAGGAAATTGAGAACGTCAGATATTTTGAGCTTCACACTAATGTAAGTTACAACGTGACTGTCGGGCTCTTTGACGAAGAAAAGTACAACGTCTACGACAATTCACAGATCGGTGAATTGGAAGGGAGCTTTGGATATCACGTTCCTTCCGGGATTGTATTGAAAGAAGGGCATAAGCACTTCTTGCCAAATAACTTCACGGCCCCACCAAATATGGAATGTGTTGTTGGGTGTGGTTTTGATTTTCTTGATCAAAAAGTGTTTTTCACGCTCAACGGAGTTCTCATCGAGGAGATTGCGACCGAAGTTTGTTACACATCCGCCGTTGTGTCGTTTGGGTATTTTGAGTGTGTGTATATCAATTATGGCGAAACTCCATTTGTTTTTAAGGAGTTTGAAAAACTATTTGTAAATCAATAAACTATTATATTTTTACATTATATTAATTTTTTTTTAATAATTTATAGTATGATTCTATTATAATCAAATAAAAGAATCATATATCATATCAATAAAATAAAACTAAAAATAGTTTAATTCTTTACTCATCTCTTCTGATTTCCTTCATGAGCTTTTGGTGTTGATTAGTGAACAAAATGCTTGGGTTCTTTGGAATGACAGGAACACTTTTATCCTCTGTCTGGACGGGTTTAAGATATTCGTGTTGCATCTTCAGGTCGGCGAAAAGATCCTTTGGTGCTTGTTTTAAGTGGACCTCCTGAGAAATGACTGGTTTGCTTCGGTCATTGCTCTCTGCGTGGTGCAAATTGATCTTCTCATGAATCAACTCGGCGCTTGTAAATTTGTTCATTCTGAATTTCGTTGTTTCGTTGGTGCTTAAATACAACCCAATTCTCTTTCCCCAACAACGGTTTCCCTCACTTTTTTTTTAAACTCAAGTACTCACTTTGAACATTACTTGACAATTTCTTATGAGTTTTATTATTTTATGATTTTATATTGTTTCTTTTATAATTTCTTTAATTCTATGCTATTTTATTTCTATAAATAACTTAGAATACAAATTTTTGGCTTTTTTTTAAAATAATTTTTATTATATACAAAAAAATATTATTCTAATTACTATTTATTATAGCTCATTGTATTATTAAAAATAAATGTGTAACAAACTATAAAAAAATATTATTTCTTTTAAATTTAAAACAACAATAATTTTCAGATATTAAAGTAAATTAATATTAATGTAAAAATGAACCATAATAAATAGTTTAAACATAAATGATCAATAAAAATCAAATCAATCACTTGAACAAATTTGCGAGTAAAAGTGGTCGGTCCACTCCATAATTCTCCTCCTTGTACTCAATTGGCGACTTGAAATTTTCAAGTTTTGGGAAAATGATGTTTGTATTTACCCTATCCTTCTTTTGTATCTTCTTTGGCTTTTGTGTGAACTTGGCATCTCTTGTGAATCGGTTAAGTCCATATTCCATTGCATCTTTAATTGTTTGTTCGTAAAAATCACCATCATCGTAAATTTGGTCACTACTTATCAAATCATCGTTCAGATAAATTTTGTTATCCCTTAGCTGTTGAGATCTCCTGTGAAGTCTCTCCTTATCCCTCATAACTCCTTTGACTTGTTGGTTTACTGTCTATGGTTTAATGGAGTTCTTTTTCAAATTATTTAATTTTATAATAATAATTGATTTGTATAAAAAAAAAGTTGTTGTCTTGTGGTATACATTGTATTATAATATTAATTATTTCTTATTATTAAAAATATTCAATAATGAAATACCTTTAAAACAAACTTTACCAGTGTTAGAAATTTTTGAGATTTGAAGGATTGTTGTCTTTGAATTCCACTTTTCTAAATCAGCCAAATTGCGGGCGTTTCTATTTGCCTGGTTCTTAATTATTTTTTCTTTATAATCACTCGCGTTTTCCCAAATAAGCCCACGATTTGCGTCAAGAGTCTCACAAAGACCACCGATTTGCTTCATTAAATTAAGAAGTGAAACGGTCAACTTATCCATTTCAGCTTTCAGTTTTGTGTTTTGCTCTGTCAATCTATTTAAGTCCGTATGGAGTGGGAGTGCATTCACACATGTGACTATTGGCTGCAATTTGACACGAATGTCCATTGCCGTGTTATACAATTTAATTTGGTTTACAACGTCTTCTTGTTTGATTTGTGAAACGGGTTTTGCTATCGTTTTCATTTCCGTCGTTTGTTTGATCATTTGATCTGCTTCGTCTTCTTCTTCATTTTCTTTAATTTCGCCATTTCCTTCTTCCTCTTCATTATTTTCACTTTCATTTTCATCATTTTCATCATTTTCATCGTCTTCACTCATTTTCTTTTCATTACTTTCGTTTGAAGAATAAGGTTCTTCATCTTCTGACATCTCGTCGTCAGAATACCCAAACGCTTCTTTCTTAGAAACAATCTTTCCTTTCCAATTTTTGTTCATTGGAATACTTTGCATTTTCTGGATTTTCCCTACTTCCAACATTTCAGTCGTTTTCAAATCGTCATCATCTTCGAGAACCGCCTTGTCTTGCTCTTCCTCTTCATATTCTTTTGGCGCTGAAAACTGTTCACTGATCACGTCGTTAATATTTTTTGACATGAATAAATGAAATTCACAAATCGTTCCTCAAACCCTAATATTGTAAAAATCACAATAACATTTTATAAAACTGAATTATAAAAAATGATACGAAAATAATAAACAGTACGTCACAGGAATATTTTGTGCGAAGAGCTTTTACTGATCTTCGATCTGCAGATCGGACAGTAATGTACTCCTTGGGTGTTGAGTAATACCTCCAGGCATTCCGAGCAAAACAAATGTCCGCACTTGGTTGTCTGGACATCTTTCGTTGTCTGGTAGCATATCGGGCAGACGATCCCCTCAACCACCTTATTTGCTCTCTCTTCTTTATTCCGCTCTTTTCCGTTCTGTCCTTCGTCCACACCTCTCATTTTCTCAATCTCCTTCTGCCAATCCTCTCTATTTTCCTGTGTCGTTCCGCCATATGCCACATCATCATCGTCGTCGTCACTGTCTGTCCTTCTGACGTAGCTTGGCCTCATGTACAATCTGTTAACTGTTGGTAAGAATTGTCTCCGTTGTGGGTGGGTTCTGAGTGGAAATTGTTGCGTTGCCTGTGATGAGATTGTGATTGCGTTGTTTGTCAAAACTTCGTGCTGTGGAATATCCCCGACAGGGTGTGCCGTCACATTCCCCTCAGTTCCATCGATGTTGATCGCTGACGTGTCATTTTCACCTGTCAAATCAATCACAACTTTATCGTCCGGAACAATCTCCACTTCATTTGTGTTGGTACTCATCTGCTTTCTTTTTTTGTTCTCTTTTTCGTTCTAACATTTCAATTTGGACCGAACGTCTTGTCTAGTTTTTTATAGTTTAAAAATAGTTTTTTTCCTTTTTTTTCACCACCATTTTAAGATGAATAACCATTAATTATAATTATTAATATTATAAATTCTAGTTATTGTGTTGGTTGATGTGAGAAAATCATTTCAATTTTTTTTAAACGATTTTCCAAAAAAATAAAACATTTTGAATAACATTTAATTTTAAAAACGACTACAATACTAATTCATTTACTTTTCAAAAGGGCATGGGTCTGGAAGGACTTTTGAGTATTCTTTATAAAGAAATTCGATTTCCCGGTCGGCGTTAGTTGCGTCAGCGATATCGTCGTTCAAGCAGACGCAGTAATTTTCTTTCTTTGCGATGTGGTTCATTGTGTACGAGTTTTGGGTGTGGTTTCCGGTCCACCAGTTGAAGTAGAAGTTTCTTCTTTGTTTGACGTATTCCCCTTTATTTTCCTCAACAGTTACTGCAGCGTGCAAGAAGCTGATGACGATGTCGTTAGCCTTTCTGAATTTGTTTTGTCTTGCTGCTGTGTAGTTATCTTTCCAAGTATTTTCCATGAAGTTCAACGTGTCCGTCAACATGAAATAGCAGTGATGTGATGGGTATGGGTGTTGAAGAGTATTTCCATTTCCGTATTTGTCGCTGACCAATTTGTTTGATGTACTCACCGACCGATGCCAAATTGATGTTTTCTCTCCTTCCTTATTTGGCGCGACAAATCCGTTGTGGTAGACGTTCAGTCTTCCATCGTTTCCAAGCCAAAATTCTGGTTTGACTGGTCTTCCAAGCATCATATCATCGTTCAAGTACAATATACACTTCGAGATGGTTGGAATCTTGTGCAAATAACTTTCGATGGTGTTGGAGTTAAATGTGGGAAGCACTTCCTTCTCAATAATTGTCGAGTGTGGGACTATTATCAATTGTGGGACTGTAGTCTTCCCTTTCTCCTCATCTATGTAATCAGGAACTTCGCCGTCAGTTACTAAGAAAATTCTCTTGATCCATGGAGCATACGCTACTATAGAACGGAAGCCAAAACGAAGAGTCCCATAGTCTTTATATAAGCCCCCGACTTTGGTGCGGCCATATTGTTTCATTAAGTCTAAATGACGTTGAGAGGTGCCATTCACCCAAAGAAATACAGCATCGACAGATCCACCACAAACTCGTTCAAAGGGCGTCTCGGCGTGACTCAATAATGAAAATAGCAACAGAAAGAATGAAATCAATAAAGATGAAAACATTTGTGTGTTCCGAGTTTTGACTTCGCTTAAATACAACAGACTCTCTTTCTATATTTTGGTCGTGTTCTCGTTCCAACATTTTGATAAGTGATTACTTTTTCTCACTTGTCACTTTGTTCATTTCGTTTTGGAATTCTATTAAAAATTTTTTTAAGTTCCACTTTCTTTTAAAAGTTTGTTTGTTGTTTTTTATTTGTTATGTTATAGTTTTTAATACTATATTTTGTTGTTATTGTAATTATTTATTTATATAATATATATAATAAATATTTTTTTTGTTGAATAATAAATGCAATTTATTAAATTATAATAAATAATTACAAGGTTTTTAGAATTTGTCTTTTTCAAAAAAAAATCCATAATTAAATATTTAATGTAATAATAAAAAATTATGAATAATTTAACTATGTTATTAATTAAAAAAAAATATCAAATGAATAAACACATTATATAATTTATTTAGTTTGAAACAAAAAATTTGTCTTTTTGGATAAACCAATAAAATAATAGTAAAATAAACTATAATAATATAGTACACTTCAAGACTCTAATAAGAGCCACACAAAATCAAATCACAACAAACCCCACTATTGCGGCCGTTTTCCCTCTGAAAAAAAACGAAAAGAGGAAAAATGAGAAAAACCCTAAACGAACTAGAAAACAGCTTGATGGACACTTTGACTCGTGTGTACCACGTTTGGAAAACAGTGTTAGATATGTTAAAAGACAGAGGATATGTCACAAATGATTTGGACCATCAGACAACGCTTGACGAATTTAGAGAGCGTGTGGGTGTTGGAGCCGATGGTGTGGAGTTTGTTTCATTTGAATAACATTTTGAATAACAAAATCAATAGTTCTTTTATTAATCAATTGCACGCAATCAACCCAGTTCCATAACAGAAACGAGTTGCAAACTATTTAAAACCATTTTAAACTATTAAATATGTTTTAAAGTAAAACGAGGACAACTGACACATAGCCGAGGAAAATTGACTATTAAAGCTGTTCGCGAGGGCAGTGCCGACGATGGAATAATTGTACTTTTTGCAAAAGATGACAAAATGAAAACGGAAGTCTTCCGAAGTTACGCCGAGGAAGTGCAAGGACAGGAATGTAAACGTGCCATTGTTGTATACAGAGGCCAGTTGTCGTCTGTCATCGTTCAGTTTGTTAACAGTTCGGAACAAAAAGTCAAGTGGGAATTATTACTGGAGGACGAACTGATTGTTAACGTCACAAAACACGTGTTGGTGCCCGAGCACATCAAATTGACTGATGAAGAGAAACAAGCTGTGTTGAAGAAGTACCAAGTCAAGGAGTCACAACTCCCCCGTTTGCTCAAAAGCGATCCAATTGCAAAGTACTACGGGTTTGAGAGAGGTGATGTTATTAAGATCATCAGAAAGAGTGAGACTGCAGGAAGATACGTGACATACAGAGCAGTGTTTTAATTCGATTGTTTCGGGAAGTTTCAGTCATCAACTTTATAAGACAAATATCATGTTGTTGGGGTTGACACTTCAATTAAGACTTAGATAATGAATAAATCAATAATAACGTGGTTTATAGGTTTTAAGAGTAGATACAAAATGACTACAATATGGGTTTTGAGAGCACATTAATCAACCTCTGCTTCGTAGAGTCGTCGATAGTTGTTTGAATGGATTGGTACATCGATTGGTGATGTGGGGTGAGCGTTTTTCTCGTTTTTCTTGATGGAGGAGATCGTGAAAGAGGCGGTTTCTGAATGAGTATCTCTGGGTCAAGTTGCATATAGTTCGGGTTTATTGGCGTTGCTGGTGACATTCTTGGTGTGTAACGTCCAACGGATGTAACGGGCGTCATACGTCGAGAGTTCAATGGAGTTGGTGGTTTTTGTGAATCTTCTTCCATTTTCCTGACTGAGCATGCAGAAGCAGGGCATTCTGTTGGTGGAGGAAGAGGTATTTTAAACACCCTTAGTTTTTCAATTGCCTCCTTTTCGGTCTGTGGAGCTTCGATTGCAGCAATAGAAATTTGAGTCAAATTTTTGATCAACTCTTGGTTGAGTAACGTTGTGAACTTTGATGTGGTAATTATCTCAGCAGTGTGCGACTCTGTGTTGAGGACAAAAGTGAACGCCACAGTGTTTGGGTTGTTTTGAATTTGGGAATGCTGATTGTCACATTTTTCGTCTAAAAACAAGGCTTAAATGTTGAATCATTCCGAAAGTCCAAGAATGACAAGATTGAGAGAATGACAACATCAAAAGGAAACAAACGATGAGATTGAAAAGAAGAGACGACATTCTTTCGCTTTCTGGTTTGTGCGTCATGATTTTGATTATATTATCAAGTTGTTGAGAAGAAAACAAGATCTTTATTTTTAAACAATCAAAACAGTAGTTTTGGGAAGTTTTAGTTTTTTAACCAAAATTGGGAAATTGTGGTGTCATTTTCCCGTTTTTTATTATTTATATACCCTAACAAATACAATCTAAAAAAAAGGATTATTTATAAAAATTTGAATCCAATACTAACGCTTATTCTGGCTTTTTATTAGAACATTTTTGGGGTAATTATTTAACAATTATGATTTGAGTTAAAAACAGTAAAAAACCAAAAATGGAAAAAAAAGGTGACTGTGTTTTTGTTTTCATAATTATTTTACTTGATTCAAACTATAATTTAATTAATTTATCCATTTTAAAAATAATTAATTAAAATAAACTTAAATAAAATAGCTTTTTTACAGTAGTTTTTCAAGTTATAAAAATACATATAATATTAAACAATATTTTTTAAATATTTTATTAATGTTGTATAATTGATTTCATTTAAGTATCGTTTTAAACAAGATTCCAACTGTTTTAACCAAAAAATTCTTTCCGTCAAAAATAGAAAATTACCCTCAACCTATCTTGGTAATAAAAACAAATTTGTTTTAAATTGTTATTTTTAATTTATAGTAAATGATAATTAATGGTATTGTTTAGTCTTGAATAAAGATGAAAATAAGAGAATATTAAATATTTATTAAAACTACTAATACTAAAAAGTAAACAACACTGTATTATACATTATAATAAAAAAAATGATATTTTTTAATTTAGTGGGGATAAACAATTGTATAACAAATTATAGTAAAACAAACCAAAAAAATAGTACATAAATTATTCAGTCAATAAATTTGTTTTTTTGCAGGCGGAGCTGAGGAGGGTGTGATATTCCTTTTCGAGATTTTGCAGTTCTGTTTGCAATTTACTTTGCACTTTCTTGAGTGCATCTTTTTCGTCTTGGAATCCGGACGTACTTTTGAGAGTTGCCTTCCACTCTGGTGCTATTGGAGCCAATGTCAATTTTACAAACTCCTCTGGAGGGTTGACGATAATAATTTGATCGAAGCAGACGTGTGAAACAACACTTTTCTTCACTTTGTCTTGATTGAATAAAACGATGAAATGTTTCAGTGTGATTGATCCTAAATTCTGTTTAAATACGATTTCTATTAACGCTTCAAACTCACCCCACCCATTCTCTGTCACTGTATATGGCGGACTTACAACTCGACGATGTGAATTGGGAAAGGATTCATGAAGGTGGAATATCACTGTCTCGATCATGTTATAGACATCTAAATCGTCTTCTTCAAATGCTCGTACAAATAGTGTCCAATTATGGGAATTCGGTCCTATCATCTTTTTTAATGGAGTCGCTTCGTTCCCATACAATATTCGTTTTGTGATTTTCATACTCATCACTCGTCTTGTATTTGTCAGTTTTGTAAATTTTTAGTTATTTTTATTATTTTTTATTATATTTTAAATTATTATAAAAGTATTATTAACTTAATTAATGAGAATTAAAAAAGTGAAAATATTGTTTTAATTTAAATTATTATTTAATATAGTATTTATTTATAAATATCTTTTTTTATTTTTTTTTGCTTTTTCAGTTGAAACTATTTCATTTACTATAGTATAAACTATATATTATTAATTATTATTATATTAAAACTATTATAAAGACTTATTTAAAAAACAAAAAGTAAATAATTTAAATTACTATTACAATTGATATTTAATCATAATTATTTTATTAATAAACATAGCATTTTAATAATTTAAATGTGTGTAATTATTTTACTAATTTTAATAAAACAAACCAATATTATTAATTTTTATTTTTTACAAAAAT